TTATTAGACAAGAACTACTAGAAATCTAAATAATGCAAGATATTTGGATTCATACTCCGAGAGATAAAATCTAGGAAAAAAATAAAGAGGATGTTTAAATCTATGCTGTTAATTTGTGTACCACCAGTTAAATGAAATTCAACTTTCACAGCTGAAAATTCATATTTGCTTGATTTTCCACATATACTATTTAATTTCTTATTTTTCTCAAAATAAAAGACAAGTTTGGTTCCGTGTACCAAATTTTTTTAACTTTTTTTTTTAAAGATTTTATTTATTTATTTGACAGACAGAGATCACAAGCAGGCAGAGAAGCAGGCAGAGAGAGAGGAGGAAGCAGGCTCCCTACCGAGCAGAGAGCCCGATGCAGGGCTCGATCCCAGGACCCTGGGATCATGACCTGAGCTGAAGGCAGAGGCTTTAACCCACTGAGCCACCCAGGCGCCCCCCAAATTTTTGAATACACAAACAAAAAGAAAAGAAATAAACCAGAAAGTCATACTGTAAGCAAAATTAAATGTAAGTAGGGACATCTGATGATAAAATGATCAATGTAAAAGAAGGCTATCATGATTTTATATACATATGCAGACATCATCATAGCTTTAAAATATTAAAAAGATTGACGTAAACTGAAAAATAGGCAAATCCACACTCACAATAGAGTATTTAACACATCTTTCTAATACCTAATAGAATAAACAGATTAAGACATAATATAAATATAAATATAAAAAATATATATATATAATATATATATAATAATAATAAAATATATATATATAAATATAAATATAAATATAAAAAAAATAAAAGATTTGAACAATGGAATCTTAAACTTCACCTACTAATACAGGTGGAATATTGACCATATAATGGCCATAAATAAAATCTCATCACATTTTCTTCATTATTTAAATATAAATTAACATACAGTGTAATAATAGTTTCAAGAGTAGAATATAGTGATTCAACACTTCCATACACCTCCCAGTGCTCATCACAACAGGTACACTTCTTAATCCCCTATTTAACCCATCCCCTCACTCACCTCCCCCTTGGAAACCATTAGTTTTTTCTCTATAGTTTATAATCTGTTTCAGGCCGCCTGGGTGGCTCAGTTGGTTGAGCAGCTGCCTTCGGCTCAGGTCATGATCCCAGACTTCCAGGATCGAGTCCCGCATCGGGCTCCCAGCATCTTGGGGAGTCTGCTTCTCCCTCTGACCTCCTCTCTCATGCTCTCTCTCACTCATTCTCCCTCAAATAAATAAATAAAATCTTTAAAAAAAAAAGAATCTGTTTCTTGGTTTGCTTCTCTCCCTCTTTTTCCCCCGTTTGCTTGTTTGTTTTGTTTCTTAAATTCCACATTTGAGTTCAATTATATGGTATTTGTCTTTCTCTGAAAGACTTATTTCCCTTGGCCTTATATTCTAGCTCCACCCATGTCATTGCATTTGGTAAGATTTCATTCTCAGCCAACTCAGCAATAGCTGAGTAATATTCCATTGTATATACACACCACCTTTTATTTATCCATTCATCAATCAATGGACATTTGGGCTGTATGCATAATTTGGCTATTGTTGATAATATGGCTATAAGTATTGGGCATATGTAACCTTTGAATTAGTATTTTTTCTTTCCTCAGATAAATATCTAGTAGTACAGTTGCTGGATCATTGGGTAGTTCTACTTTTAACTTCTTGAGGAACCTCCATACTGTATTCCAGAGTGGCTGTACCACTTTGCATTCCCACCAACAGGGCAAGAGAGTTCCCCTTTCTCTGATTCTTGTCAACACCAGTTGTTTCTTGTGTTGTTGACTTTAACCATTCTGACATCCTGAGGTAACAACTCATTGTGGTTTTGATGTGTATTTCCCTGATAATAAGTGATGTTGACCATCTTTTCATTTGCCTGTTGGCCTTCAACATGTCTTCCTTGGAAAAGTATCTATTCAAGCCTTTTGCACATTTTTAATTGAATTATCCATTTTTGGGATGAGGAGTTTGATAAGTTCTTTATATATTTTGGATATTAATCTAGTCAAATTTTGAAAGAATAGAATTATTGAGAGTACATCTTTAGATCACAACAAAATTAAACAAGAAAACAACTTTTTTGAAATTTTTTCTTCCAAGTTCTTATTTAAATGCCAGTTAACATACAGTGTAATATTAGTTTCAGGTGTAGGATTTGGTGTTCATCACTTACATACAATACCCAGTGCTCATCACAAGTGCCCATCTTCATACCCATCATCCATTTAACCCATCCTCCTACCCACCACCCCTCCAGCCACCCTCAGTTTATTCTCTATAGTTATGAGTCTCTTTTATGGTTTTCCTCTCTCTTTTCTCCCCCATGTTCATCTGCTATGTTTCCCAAATTCCTCATATAAGTGAAATCATACAGTATTTGTCTTTATAAGAAATCAACTTAAAAGATAACTAGAAAATCCCCAGGTTCCCAGATATTGACACTTAGTCAGAATTTTTTACAAAAATTAAAGTGGGACTTGTAGATATTGCTGTGTGAATTCACTAAGCCTAGAGAAGCGACTAGGAAATAGACTCACACATATCCAGTTGTCTGATTTATGATGAAAGTCAGAGTAAAGCAGTGTCGTAGGAAAGAGATGATATTTTCAGTAAGTAGTGCCAGAAGAGTTGGATCGCCATATTTTAAAAATGTATCTGTTGCCCTTCATTATACCATACACAGAAGTCAAATGCAGTCTTAAATGTGAAAGAGAAAACAATGCTTTTAGAGGAAAGCATCATTGTATCCTAGGAGTAGGCAAGAAATCCTTAAAAAGGACACAAAATGCACTAACCCCAGTAGAAAAAAAAATGAGAATTTGTTCTATTTTAAAATGTTAAAAATGTCTTTTCTTCTTAAGTCCCAAACATTTTTTTCCATTGCAATTGTTATATCCTGTGATATTTACAAGGAAATGCTCTCCTGTAGTTAGAACAATAAACATTCAAGGGACCTTAGTGACCCACAATTTTTTTTCTGCCTAAACATGCCAGTGAATTCAGAATGACTTTGCGATTTGAACCCTCTGAAAAACCATCCAGCTTCAAAAGCAGGCTACCTTTGTCAGTTGGACTCTGCAAGAATATGTTTGAAAAAATGGGAGTCAAGCATAACTATGTAAACAAAACATTTAATTGTTCAATTAGAATGCAGAAATTCTACCCATTAAGAAACACTGAGCGGGGCACCTGGGTGGCACAGTGGGTTGGGCCTCTGCCTCAGCTCAGGTCATGATCCCAGGACCCTGGAATCAAGCCCTGCATTGGGCTCTCTGCTCAGCAGGGAGCCTGCTTCCCCCTCTCTCTCTGCCTGCCTCTGTGCCTACTTGTGATCTCTCTCTCTCTCTCTGTCAAATAAATAAATAAAATCTTTTGAAAAATAAATAAATAAATAAAAGTAAAAAACACTGAACAAAATGACAACCCACTGACTGAAGAAGATAGTCATAATAAATATGTCCAAGAATGTCTAGGAATATAAAAGAATTCCTACAATGAAATAAGTAGAAGACAGATAACTCAATAGAAAATATATGTATATATGCAGAAGACTTGAATGCATAGTTCACCAAAGAGGATCTCTAAATGACCATTCACGACATGAAAGTCGTTCAACTTCATTTGTCCTATGGAAAATGCATACTAAAGTCCCAGAGAATTACAGCTCTGTGTTCACCAGAATGGCTAAAATTACACAGTTTGAACACACATCAAGTGTGTTGAGGATTTGGAGCAGTTCATTCACTGCTGGTGGGAACACCAACTCGCATAATCCTTTCAGAAGCCTCTCTGATGCGACCTGTTAAACCTACACATGTTCATCGTTCTGTCCCACCGTTCCCCCGCTAGGTGTGCACTCATCAGAAATGAGGACGTGTCTTTGTCAAAACCCTCACAACAGCAGCCCTTTTTCTATCAGCTCCAAACTAGAATCTACTCAGATGCCCATGAACAGATGCGCAAATGAAATGTGGTACATTCACAGAATTGAATATTATGCAGCAATAAGAATTAGTAATCTGTAATTAAACACAGCAGTGCGGTTGAATAACAAACATAAATTTTCATGAAAGGCTCTACACACTAAAAAAATAAATATCTTTCAATTTAGGTAAAATACAAGATAGACGAATGGACTCTATGTTCTTAGAGATCAGGACACTGGTCCCCCTGTGTGTGGTGAGGGAGAGGTTGAGAGGGGCTCACCGAAAGGGACAGCTGGGGCTTCCTGGAGAGCTAGTGCTCTTCAGTGAACTAAGCTTGGCGCTGGGTTCATACATGTCTCCACCGTCTCAATATTCATTAACCCACTTGTTTAAATGTTCCCTACGCATATTATGTTTCAATAAAAGGTTTAAAAACTCAGTGTTCAAATTTCTTGATTTTTGAATTATTAAACGCAGTTATGACCAAGGAAAGTGATCCTGTTGCTTCACACACATATATAAGAAGGCTTTAAAGGAGTAATTTCCTGGATTGTGGGAAAAGCAGGCCAGCACTACATTCTTGGCAAAGTTTACCCACATTTTATGGGTCTTGTTTGTGAAAGCATTGACTCACTCCAAGTTCTGTAAATGATTTTTTTCATTTTTTATTAATTATTTTTATTAACATTTAATGTATTATTTGGCCCAGAGGTACTGGTCTGTGAATCGTAAACGATTTTTAAAAGAGCTTCTATTATTTTATCTTTTGAGGGTTTATGAAATCCTGAGGATATCAACAGTTACTGCTTTGCACATTCCGAGAACTTGAACGTGTTCCAGCAGAGAACATGCCTGGGTTTATGAAACAAATGAAAAGCAGGTCACAGCATTAACACTCAGTGGGAATGCAGGGAGAATCAGATTCCAACTCTGACACTGCTGGGGTTTGGGGTTGAATTTTCTCTTCTACCTTGCAAAATTTCTGAGGGGCGGAGCATCTGGTACTCCCTTTAATTCCCGAGTTGTGTTTCAATTTCCTTTTGAGCAAGTGCTTTCCTGCACTAATCACATTTCGTAGAGGAAGAGAACTTGACATCGTGTGAGCACGTCAGCTATTAAATGTACCCCTAAAAGACCTCAGAATGAGATTTCTAGGGGAGATCATTTGGCTTATATCGTGGGCGGTTTGTGTTGCACAAGGTAAGAGTAAAAAAAAGGCTTTTTTCTATATTTTAAGACATTTGCTAACATGCTTTTCACAGTGGTAACAGGAATTTTGTCTAGAAAATGTGATTTAATTACTGTTCTATAGATTTGTGTGTGACTAGCTTTTGACATTAAGTTTAAAAAAATGTAAGTAGTTTATTTAAATGATGTTATTATTTATCATGGTTTTATTTAATGTACACACTCAAAAAATGGGTTTTTTAAAGATTTTATTCATTCGTTTGAGAGAGAGAGAGAAATAGAGGACAAGCAGGGGGAGAGGCAGAGGGAGAGGGAGAAGCAGACTCTGCTGAGCTGGAACCGCCCCCCCCC